CTCTCTCTCTCTCTCTATTTTTTCCCTTTCATTTATCACTAACCTCTCTCTCTCTCTAACTATAACTCTCCGTTTTCCATAACCCATCTCTCTCTAATTTTTTCCCCTTCATTTCTCACTAACTTCTCTCTCTAAGTGTAAATCTCCGTTTTCCATAATCTTTCTCTCTCTAATTTTTCCTTAAGGTCTTTCTCACACAAATTCTTTTCAGCACTGTCTCTCTGACTTTAACTTGAAGCCTTTCTCTCAACCTTTTCCCAAGATAAGTAGATCTCTCTCTCTAACCCTTTTCTCTCAAATTTATCTTTCTCTCTCTAAATTTATAATAAGGAGGAGCTCTATCTCTCTCCCTCCATTAATTTATGAAATTTTCTCTAGAGAATTGTTCCTCAAGTAAAGAAAGAGCTCCAGCTCTTTAACTTTTTCCAAATCTCTCTCTCTCTAACTCTCTCTCTCTCTCCCTAACTTTTGCTCCTATCAGCTGAAATAGAGAAGCCTTATCGCGTAATTCCTCCAAGAAAACGAAGCCCTCTCTCTGAGCTTTTATCTCCTAAAAAGGAAAGACCACGCGCTCTCTCTCTCTCTCTAGGACCGGGTTCCCATTGTCTAGCGCCATTTTCTCCCGTTGCCTGGTCTGTAGAGAGAGAGTGTGTGTACATGGCGGTTAGAGAGAGAAAGTAGGCAATGCAAACAGTGATTGCTCCCTTCAGATCTGCATATGGGGGGAGCTCTAGTGGACGCCCTTCGCCGATGGTTACAACGCCGCTCTAATAGCAATCATAGCGCCATTTCATCTGATCAAAATAGGCGTAAAGGTCAAGAGAGAGAAAGGGAAAAAGTACAGAGAGAAAGAGAAAAGGTTGAGAGAGAGGGAGTGGGAGAGGAGGGAGAAGGGTCCGATTCTTATTCGCCTGAGTTGAAGTTTGAGGAGAGCTGCGGCTTGAAGCTCGTCAGAGTTCCCAAGAGGGTGGAAATAGCCATGGTTGAGCCCCATAAAAAGGTATTTTTTTTTCCTATTCATTTTATGGGGGTTTTCTTTATATATATTTTTATGCTGGATTTCAATTCAAACTGGGAATTTTCTTGCTCTGACTCTGACCCATGATTGGATTTTCCGCAAGTCCTCTCTCTCTCTCTCTCTCTCGTCTCTCTCTTTTATTGCTGGATCGGGTTTATTTTGTGCAGTTTCGTCTCTTCATTTTTTCCATCAATATGATTTTTATTTGATGTGGTTATTGTGCAGGGTATGAATTCAGAGGGTGAGTTTCAGTGAGATTTTGATAATTTATGGTTTACAAGTTCCATTTCCATGGATCTGATTTCCTTTTAAAATTATTTCTTTTGGGTATTCCTTTTCTGTTATATTTGAATTCATTACGAAATTTTATTGTGATCTTAGCTTCTTTTCAGCTTATTTTCTTAGGATCGCTTTTATTTTCATATGGTCTATGATTTTCTTTATGATTTAGAATGTTTATGGTTTTCAAGCTGCATTTTCTTCTATTTTCCTTTGTTCTTGGAATTGAAGTTTGGTTAAACTAATCATATATATTTTTTTTCCATGTATTATTATTTTAATTGCTTTTGCTTTTCTACAACATTTAAATTCATGAAATATCTGCATTGGTTGGGCTTCCTTTTCTTTTAAATGGTGTGATTTGTTGTCATTATCTGGTTTGATAATCTTTTTCTTTTTTAAATTTTATGTTGGGAATCCATTGTATGATTTATTGTTATGTTCTGGTTTCATAATCTTTTTTTTTTTTTCTCAATATTATATTGGGAGTCTGATATGATTGTTCTTTTACATACACGATCTTCTACATCTATAATCAATCTTTTGCTATTTTCTTTTTTAATATCTTTGCTATAATTTGTTGTCGAGGATTTGATAGGCTGATGTCCAAGAAGCTTGATTTATTAGTCGTTTGGACATTCATGATTTCTCCATGATTCTATTATATCTTTCACCTCAAAATTTTTAACAGTCATTTCATGGCTATCGGCTTCTGGTTATGTTCTTTGGGGTTTCAGTTTTGTTTTTTGTTGATGTATGAGTTGTTTTAAAAGGCATATATAAGGTTTCTATTGAGAATTCAGTTTTCACTGTGTGGGTCACTTTTTAATCTTCCTTTTTCTTTAAGATATACTCCATTCAATATATAGATTCTCACGTTGTTAGTGGCAATTGCACAGTAAAAGTGTAGAATGCTTTATTGATGAACCCTTTCTGATTTCACTTGAGCTTTTTCTCTCGAGATTTTGGTCTCTCTCTCTCTCCCCCCTCCCCTCCCTCCCTCCCTTCCCCCTCCTCTCTCTCTCAAAGCACACAATTTGATATTAAAAAAGTCAATTTTTCCATCAAGATAACTCTGTTGGTTCCTCTGACGTTTTCTGTAATCCCCCCTCCCCTCTCTCTCTCTCATTTTGTGATTTGAATGCCATGAGGAGATTCGTTTTTTATCCTGTTTATTGAGTTCTCTACATTTTTGTTCTTAGATTTGTAGAAAACGGGATCAAGAATATCTGGACAGACAGTGGCCTGTTTGGTTACATGTTCTTTAGCACCTTTATAATTCTTGATATTTTCTTACTTCTTTTAAACTATTCCCTTTTCCCGAATTGCTTTTTGTGATCTCACTATTTGCTATAGAATTCTTCATCGTAGGGAATTTCATTTTAATATTACACTGTTTGCTTTAAAACTGTTCTGATTAGTTCTTTAAGGTGCCGGAGATTTTGGCTTGCAATATCATGGGCAGAATGGCTGGTTATAGTCTGAAAAATGTTTAAATTCATTGCTATTCGGTGGTTACTGTCAGTTTGTCTATTTTCTTTCTTGGAGTCTTAATTCTTTCAAAAAAGTTTAATTGCTTGGTTCTATGTTGGAAATTTGATTAAGGAGATATTCTCATTGATGTGGCTGTGATTTTGTGTAGTGTTGAGCTCATATCCTGTTTTTCTTTGTCTCGTCTTAAAACCACCCCTTTCATGCATTTGTATGAGCAAGCTGGGACAGTTAGGGTCCTTATTGTTGTGGTGCTTTAAATTTAAGAAGATAGAAATAGTTCTTTTCCATTGCCAAACTCGTGGTCATGCATTCAATAGATTGGAGAGATGATAGTTCGTGGTGTGTTCATTGTTAAGAGTTGCACATCCATAATTCTATTTTCTTCGATACCTTATACGAGGAAGGAGCATATTTTGGCCGCAAATTGCCTTTATGGGTGTATAATTTGATGATTTCTGTAGTTCATGGTTCATCTTCCTGTGCAAATTATTGTACAATGATGTTGATGCATAATTTTTAGAAGCTTCTTTTGGTTATGTTGGAATATGGTATTTTTGTAGCTACTTTGTAGTTTGTGAGAACATATTCTATAATCCTTTAGACTACAGTGTATTCATATTCATCACTGTCCTATGCAATGGATGTCGATGGACTGATGGGCAGAGCATAGGGGGCAGCAGAACAGGAAATGATCCAATGGCAACTCCCGCTCTCTCTCTGTCACCGTTGATGATTTAATTTGTGGCTGATGACCTGACCCCAATGGACCATGTTTTCCATAGTCCACTGTATCATCTGGATCTATCATGTTATGCTTCCCCAATTGATATTATTTCCACTGTTGTATTGATTCTGAATGGTTTTTTTCCATCTTCTTTTCTCAATAACCAGTTGGACTTTATGGGTGAGAGTTCCTAATTGGGTGTATGATTTCTATGTAGAACATGTTGGACTCTGAATTCTTCACTGAATATGGTGAGGCTAGTCAATACCAAATACAAGAGGTGATTGGAAAGGGAAGCTATGGGGTGGTGGCTTCAGCCATTGACACACATACTGGGGAGAGGGTAGCAATCAAGAAGATCAATGACGTTTTTGAGCATGTGTCTGATGCCACTCGTATTTTACGAGAAATCAAGCTCCTTCGGTTGCTTCGCCATCCAGACCTTGTGGAAATAAAGCACATAATGCTTCCTCCATCTCGGAGAGAATTCAAGGACATATATGTTGTGTTCGAGTTGATGGAATCTGACCTTCACCAAGTCATCAAAGCAAATGATGATCTCACCCCTGAACATTATCAGTTTTTCTTGTACCAGCTTCTTCGAGCTCTGAAATATATCCATACAGGTTGGCGCATTTCTCCTCATGATTTGCTTTTGAAGGTCTTCTTTCAAACCATTGGCAATAGAGTAGGGAAAGCATACTCTCATCCAATGGATGTTGGAAAATCCATAGTCCATCTCCATCACTTCCAATCTCAATTGACAATTTGTTTTCTATATTCCTTTGATTCATCATGTACTTTCAGTTAGGGATATCTTTATTGAAGTTATTGTTTGCCTACCCTTTCTTCATGTCAATCAGAACCATTGAGTAACTTTCTTCATCTTTTGCAGCAAATGTATTCCATCGAGATTTGAAGCCCAAAAATATTCTTGCTAATGCAGACTGCAAATTAAAGATATGTGATTTTGGCCTTGCTCGTGTCTCTTTTAATGATGCTCCATCAGCTATTTTCTGGACTGTATGTTACCCCTTGTTGCTCACCAGCTTCCAAGTGCCCCTATTCCTTTCATTTTACATGCATCTCAATGATTACGTTCCTATGGAGTTGTATTTTCGATTATTAATTCCGTCATGAAGTTGTCTGGGAACTACTAAAACAATATATGGCCTTGTTTGATGAGGTTTTTTAAATGTTTTCTCAGGATTATGTGGCAACAAGGTGGTACAGGGCCCCTGAGCTCTGTGGTTCTTTTTTCTCCAAAGTAAGATTGTCCAAATATTTTGACCAAGTTATTGTGTTTGTATCATATTGGACAGCTTGCTGCTTTATATTGTTATGTTAGGCAGTAACTGTAGTTTTCCTTATTCCTTGATTAGATTGAAAGCTTGCAGCTCTGATTGTGCTGATGGAAACAAAACTCTGTTAGGCTTGTGCCCATAGTCACATGCTCCCAATATATGCGTTAACCCAAATTCTCTTTGCATGACCTTCTTATATGGTTAAGTTGTTCAACTGATTGGAATATGATCGTGGGCCATAAAACAGGCTACCTCTAGATGATTTCAATCTCTAATAAAATAATGCCAGAAAGCACTCGTGGGAGGGACTTATGTCCTTATTACTGGAAGGATGAATCTTGGCCCTTTAACTGCGATTTGAGTTCAAAACATTGAGCCACAATTGACACATTTATTTGATTTAATCAAACAAAAACTGTATAGGCACATAGTGCATGTCCAAATAATTCGAGTAATTTTAGAGTTAATGAAGGAAACCTCATGTCTCACATGTTTAGGATTCTTGAGTGATAATTGTCATCCATGTATTGCTTACTAGTGGTAATTTCTTTTGATTTCAATAGCATTAACAAGAAAGAAAAAGAAATTAATAGTTTTCACTTCCTTTGAACCAATCTGTGTTTCGGCATGTCTCCGCCTCGTGATCTATAACAAATTATTCTGTTGATTAACTATATGTTCGTGTCTAGGACAGTGTAAAAGCGCAATGCTCCCCTTTTCCCCTATGATTGATGCCCTCACTGTGAAAATAAAAAAAATAAAAAAATGATGCGCTTAATGTGCTTCTCGGTGGTCGATGGTTGCATCTAGGTTATCATGCTCTCTAGGTTATAGAGAAATAATTTGCTATGCCCATTCTTAACAATTCTTTTTTATTTGTCATTCAGTACACTCCTGCCATTGATATATGGAGCATAGGATGCATATTTGCGGAAATGCTTACAGGGAAGCCTTTGTTTCCTGGTAAAAATGTGGTGCATCAGTTGGATCTCATGACTGACGTGCTTGGCACTCCTTCCCTCGAATCAATTGCTAGGGTTTGTTTTTGTCCTTCTCTTACTGCCCTTTGACCTCATGGCCTTTCTTCCTCTTTGATTTTGTGTATGGTTTTGAAATTGTTTCCATTCCTTTATTTATATTTGCAGATTAGGAATGAAAAAGCCAGAAGATATCTTAGTAGCATGAGGAAAAAACCCCCGGTTCCCTTAACACAAAAGTTCCCTGGTGTTGACCCCTTGGCGCTGCGTTTACTTGAACGATTACTTGCTTTCGATCCTAAAGATCGGCCTTCAGCTGAAGAGATAAGATTTAGTTGCAGAGATACTTGTCCATTAATTTCCTTTCGCAGAATTCTTGGGTTGGATATTACTTCTACTTTGTCTGCTGATATTGGTCTTGCAATTACAGGCACTGGCTGACCCATATTTTCATGGTCTGGCGAATGTGGAGCGTGAGCCTTCGACACAACCCATTTCTAAACTAGAATTTGAATTTGAAAGACGAAAATTGACAAAGGATGATGTGAGAGAATTGATTTATAGGGAGGTATGGTTTGCCATTTTGATATCCCAGTCTATTTATCAATTGTTTTTCAGGCTAATTATGATAAAAAAAAGTTCTTAGAATGTGAGACCTTTATGGGAATGAATTTCTTCTTACTCATGATGGTGCTTTTTAAAAGTGCACAGATTTTAGAGTATCATCCACAGATGCTCCAAGAGTATCTACGAGGTTCCGACCAGACTGGCTTCATGTACCCAAGGTGTGGTCTCTTCTCTGTTTATATAGTCTGGATTTTTTGGGACAGACCAACTTAGCTCTGAGGATTTTGCATCTCTACATCTCACACCAAGGTTGTGAGATCAAATCTTTCACAGCAATAAATGGAAACAAAAGTGTACAATTCTCCAATGGACTAAGGAAATCCATTGTTTGTTAGGGTCGGACTGTCTGATGAGATGATGGATGCTACTGGAGAGGTAGTGGGACCCATCATTGGGATACCATTCTCTTCATCACCATCCAATTTTTCATTGAATTGGTCATTGGACTTTGCTTTCCAGTGCAGTTTCCATGAAAAGGATGTTAGTTGCAGTTTCCATTAAAAAAGGATGTTAGTTTTATTGTTTTGGGATCTAGGTATTACAATTTTGGACTTTATTTTATTTTACCTGTGAACAGTGGAGTGGATCGATTCAAGAGGCAGTTTGCTCATCTTGAGGAGCACTATGGTAAGGGTGAAAGGAGCACTCCTCTCCAGAGGCAGCACGCTTCTTTGCCGAGGTAAATTGCAAAATCCAGATGAAACAATTAAGAGAGAGAGAGAGAGTTACTGACTTCCTTACTGTACTCCTTTTCCTCCCTTTTATGTAGGGAACGCATTTGTGCACCTCGAGATGATGCTATGAATCAAAACAATGGCCATGAGAAGGAAGAGGCTGGTTCTGTTGCACGGCCAATTCTTAACAGTCCCCCAGGTCCTGGTCCAGAAGGGGGGGTTGAAATTTCTCAGAACAAGGTGGGACCACCTCAAAATGGAGTAACTGTCTCAAATTACAGTGTGCGAAGCTTGTTGAAAAGTGCAAGTATCAGTGGTTCTAAGTGTGTAACTGTAAAAGACAGAAAGGATTCAGAGGTTGGTAAATTGAAATCCAGTGGAATTTGGTCCTTGACAAAGTAACTTGAAAATAGTGTTTCTATAGTAAAGTAAGAAGATACATTGGGATTTGGTCTCTTATGAAGCATAGGAAGTTAAACTCTCTCTCTCTCTCTCTCTGTGCATTTTCTGTGGCACTCTCTATTTGGTCTCTTATGCTCATGTTCACTTTTTTCAGGAAGATACAATTCCCGAACATTCTGATGAAGGGGTTGATGGGTTAACGGATAAGCTTGCAGGGCTTTACGCAGGTGTAGCTCATCCTTGACAATGCGGGAGTTGTTGCAGTACACTCACTCGCCCTGTTTTGAGAGGTATTCTCTGTCCCTCCCCTCTGTGTGTGCGTGGAATTCATATTGTATGCTAACATTATAGCAGCCAATCCCAAATAGTTGGGAAAAGGCTATGATGATGATTACACAGAATTACCTATTTGAGTAAAAGATGTGAGCGTGGCTGTTTTTGAACCCTACTAACTCCTATTGGAAACCAGTACTCTAACCAGACTCTCTCTCTCTCTCTCTTAGAGATTAAGATGATGTGATTGTTTTTGAACTCCGATATCTCATTCAATAAGTGCTCTTACCAGTTGAGCTACATCTCCATTGAAGATTTAGAAGCTTCAGTTATCAAGGGCGTCGCAGCACTGTAACCGGAAAATGTATTCAGTTTACAAACCAAGGGTCCCATCGTTTTTACTTCTGGTGCCCATCTCATACAGATTGATGATTCCAAGACTGGAGATTCTCAGTTATATTTTCACATGCCTTTATATCTTAACAGGTGACCTTCTCAATGTTGTATCAGTAGCTTGTTGCATCGGCAGTATTGAGCTTTTTGTGAGGGTTTTGATGCTAAATTATGGATCAGTTATGGGTTCTTAAATGGGCCTGAAATTGGGCAAACTTGCCTTAAGTGGTTCGTACTGGTTTTTGACTCCGAACCATCTACTGGTTTTTGACTCCGAACCATCTCTAAGGTTCAAACTTTTGATTCATCACTACCCCATTATGTTTATGTAATTTGGTCCTTACGTTGTAAAGATAATTTGTATGGGGACGGTTTAGATTCTTCAGCGGTAAAACTCTCTCTCTGTGGGGAGACCTTAAATTCTTTAGTGGCAAATATCTCTCAACGTTCTTGGTGAAAAGTTTTTATTTATTTTTTTATAATAGATAGTTGGGATAAAATTTAATTTGAGAGAATCTCTCTCTCTCATCCAACTTCATTCACCTCTTTCTTCCTCTCTCATCCAACTTCTTTATGTAGGGTGGATGATGCCTCTCTCTCTCTCTCTCTCTCTCTCTCTTCTTC